ATAATAAAGAAGCAGGCCTTATTTATTGTTTTCATAAACTGTGAAGATACTTGAATTAGCAGCAATTTGAGAATCTTGACATCTTTGCATTTCTGCACTGCACTGTTTAGAAAGACAGAGTAATCTGCCTGATTTGTTAATTTTTATCTACAATACATTTGTTCAGAGTACTGTCAAGGGTGGCAGTACATTTTGGTACCAGTGTCATAGTTCCATCTTGTTCTTCTTGTACACTAAATCTCAAACATTTATATAAATGAAAAGCTGAGGTGTACAGGGTTTGAGGCTCCCATTCAAGCCTATGGAATACGTGGAGTTCAAGATTTTTCACTTGAGGATTCCTGAATTTTACTTAGGTAATAATAAGTGGTCATTTTAAAAAAAGGAGGAACCTGAAAGGTCAATTAAGACACATGGGAGATCATTTTCCCCAAATTTAGAAGTAGGGAGCAGGTAAGAAAAGGAAAGGTAGTTAGTAGGGTAGACATATATGCTGGTTTAGGCATTTTATCTTTTTTTTTTTTTTCCCACCTGTTGCCTAGTGAATACTTAGTGAAAGGCTTTGGTATTTTTATTAAACTATCTTCTGATTTAAACTGTCACTGTAAAAAATGGTGAGACTAATTCAGCTCAGGTAAAATGCAAATGAAACATAAAATCTGTTATAAATATTCCTAACATTTTTGTAGTCTCAATCTGTTTTTACTGTTCTCTCTCTTATTTTTCCTTGCGGAGTAGTTCTGTTCCCATATTTTAAGAGAAGCTTCAGTATGTAAATAGATGCTTTGTTTATTTGTACTGAATAGTGATGATAAGCTACAGTCACCTATTAATGTTACTCTTCTTTAATCATCCTGAATGCCAGTGATCTGGTTTATTTTTACAATTGACTTGGTACACCATAATCATAGCCATTTTTGTTTCCACATACTGGCTGCTCTACTTTGGGTAAATTATAGCAATACTGAGATTAGAAATTACTTTCAGCAGTACCAAGTTGTTACTCAGAAAGAACCCAAAGTTGAAAGGTATTTCCATATAATTTTTACAAAGAACAATCGCTCATTGTGAAACTGGTTTCTGGTGGTGATATGTCACCTGTAGCTGAAACATTAGCTGTACATGAGACACACAGTATTAATAAATAAATTTCAGAGCTGCACAGCTGCTGTACCTTGAAACTGTAGCTGCTGAAATCTAATAGTTTTACTAGAACAACAGCAAGCTTTAGCTTTACCAGTTCAAGGGCCAAGACTTGATTGGCAAGTAAAAATATAGCAATCCTTTATCTTTAATTTCTCCTGTGTCCTTTTCCCATTTTGCAATTAATTATCCCAGTATTGCAGCAGTCTTCTAGAAATGAACATCTTGGACTGTTTCATTCTTGGAAAATGTATCCCCTTGACCTTTTAATTATAGTAATTGTTTATGACATTATAGATACACTGTATTATAGTTAATGTCAGCCTTCTCTATCCAAACTACTATGATCAGAGATTTTAATTTGACCATGGATATAGCCAGGCTGAGTTGCATGAACCTGTGAGACATTTATCTACCATTGGTAAAATACAAAGAATTAAATATGGCCTAAATAAATCAATGCTCATCTTCTATAAAAAGAGACTCAGCACTGGCAGGTTCAGCAACTGAGCTACACAAGTGATTTTTGACCTTTTTAGACTGGAGACATCTCTCATTAGACTCAAGGCAACCCTCCATAACTTGTGAATTGAGTAGCACCCCATTTTAAAAGCAATATATTTATTACACTGCTTCTCTTCTTGCAGAGGAGCCAGGGAGTGGGTGCAGCAGAGGAGCAGCCAGGAAGGGAAAACCTTAGCCTGCCCTTTTCTGCTTAACTCCTCACACCTCCTGAGGCATCCTTCAAAGGATCTTGCACTCTGGCAAGTGGCTGAGAACCACTGATCTACACTCCCAACAAGTAAATCTCATGCAACATTTGTAATTCAGAATGAAATGATTCAGTTATCTTCCTTAATGGAATAAAAGAGTATCAGCGGACCAGTGCTAATAAACAACTGTACATTAACAAATGTCTCTGCACATAAATTCTGACAGCAAACAGATGTTGGTAAAGAAAATGACTTTTCAAAGAAGTTTGAGGTGCTCCAAGGGGAGCTGGTGGACTGGATGGGGTATGCTTGGGGCAATGCCAGCTGGGGCATGCTGCTGCCACGTTGTAGATAGCCTAAATTCCCCATGCATTTTTTTGGAAGTCTACCTGCCTAATGCAAGGCTGTGCTTTCTGCTTTTGGATCTGGTATCTAGAAGCCAGGCAAATGCTGAGAGTTGTAATGCCTTTTGGAAAATTGGTGTTCAATGTCCTCATAATGGACATAATGGGAACTCACTGCACACAACATCTTACAGAACTTGGTTCCTAAGATGTTTTTATTTTTCCTCTGGCCCCACCTATGTCCAATCTGCACTTGTAGTCTGCGCCATCTTTAATCATATAGGTTCCCTAACAACATCAGGCTTCCTCCCTTGGCGAGAAGAAAACTTTCTTCCATGACTTTCAAACAAACTAAAAAACAAACTGGAAGAGATTCTTCCTTCAATTGGAGCAACAGAGAAGGAACCAGGAGAGTGGCCTTTAAAAATTACACAGCCTGAGATTCTGCAAGGAGTTTTGTTCCCACACATCTCAGAGGAGAACTAATCTCTGTATAGCTCTGCCTTTGCCCCCTTCTGCCAACAGCTTCATGTAGAATTGTGTTGGCAGCAGCTTCTAGATTATAAACCACTTCATAAACCCATGCTGCCTCTACTTCACCAAGTGCACAACACTTCTTTCACTAAGACTTTATCCTGTTTCAGGGAAAAGATCACCCAGGTCACTAATGGTCCTTTCAGACCTGAAGACCAAGAAGCTGAGAATCTAGTCCAGAAATGCTGAATCCTCTTTCCAAGAATTTCGTCCATTTTTACAAATAGAAGATATGGAATTAGTGGCAGCAATTGTTTTAATAAATAATACTGCTGCTTACTGTCATAGTATTTCCTGATTTATAGCAGTGTATATTTTTAAGGTCACCCAATTATCCTAAGAAATGCTTCCATCCATCTTTCATGTAGTTGAGCCTAACATAGTCCATCCTTAAAGTTTACACTTTACTGGTGCTTAAGCTCAAAAAATAGAAATACTGAGATGTTAGGAAGGAAGATTTTGGAGAAGGAAGATTAGAAAATATATAAATTCTCCAGTTAGAATATAAAATATTTAAATTTGAATGCGTGTGCTTTTTTTATGTGCATGCACGTGTTATTTATTGACAGGTATGATCTTGCCCAAGTATCCATCGGGTTTTAAAATGTCTGTTTTCTCATATGTACCATGTCAGAAAGAAGCTTAGTGACAGATTTGAAGAAGATTAGGTAGGACTAAAAATTAAAGGAGAACATACCAGGCACAAACAATGGCATGTGAGAAAACTTGATGCAATTTTGGAAAGAGTAGACATGTAGGGAGCTGGAATTGGCACAAAGGTGGAGGTACAGAGCAGCAAAAAGGATGAGTAGGTTGGATAAGTATAAATGAACAGAGTTGGGAAGGCCTTGTTAAAATTAGGTGACATTCAGACTCCAGTTAGGTAGAGATAAAGCACACAGTGAAGTGGCACAGGTGTTTCCTGAAAAATAAACAGATCCAAACCGCTGTCACTAAGGTGCTTGTTCTCATGTTCAAATAAAACTGACTTTGTCAGTGTGTGCCTTTGTGTGAAGTGATACCAGAATCTAAAAGGAAAATGTCATAAGTGACTAGAATTAGTTAGAATAAACCACAGACGGTAAATCTCCAATCACCAGAGACGTCTGCATTGATTATACCCAGTCCAAACTAAGCCATATGTTTTCAATCAAGTGTGGGGAAATCTCTTGTGGACAATTGGAAGGGAGGAACTGAAGTACAATTATTATTCTATCTGCCAATCTAAATATCTGGTTTTTTAAAAGTCATCCATCTCTTTGGTCTTCTTTTTGCCTAGCTAACCAGTCTACTTTCCTCTGTTTGTTAAAGGACAATAAAGATGAAACTATTCCAACTGCTCAGTCTTCTTGATAGTTTCATGGTGGTCTTCAGATTTTGGTGACCACTTAATCTTTTGAGCCCTATGGGAAGCCTTTACTTTTAGTGGGGATTTAAAACAGCTGTGTCCTCTCTTTCCCTCTTCATCGGAACATTGCATGTAGTACCCAGCAAACAGTGAAAATCAGCCCAAAAGCCTTTCAAATTGGCAACAGCAAGCCTGTGAGAACTAAACAATCTTGCTTATGTAGAACAACGAATAAATAACTCTGGCTGGTCTCTCAGACACCACCATTAATATTTGTAAAATATATAAACACAACATATGAAAAGAATATTTGTTTAGATGTGAAAAGGCAGGGCAACTAGATGTTCAAATAGGCTCCTTGAGGAACATTTGTGTTTCCAGTTATAAAAGAATTTAAAAAGAGGGGAAAACAGAATGTTCTTTAATATAAAATGGAAGGGTTTCCCCACCTCCCCTGCTTTACCAAACTGAGAGTTGCCAATAAGTAAACATTTCAGAGAGAATTTTACACCACCTCATCTTTGTCAGGCAGCATTTAATGCTTGAATGATCTTCTGCCCCAGGTCTTGGCAGCTATCCTCCTGGGGCCAATGTTGGGGATTACAATGACAGTCAATCAGTGGACCTTGTCCAATATAAACTAGACTAAGACCATTTTAAATCAGTTGCTATCAACAAGTCAAATTAACTTTATTTATGTTAGAAGTTTTTCTATGAGGGTTTCATAACAATATGGAATTTTAATGTCCTTAGGGGCTTTTCTTTTGTTGCTGTTGTTATTTGGGAATGTACTTATTCATTACATTAAGCATAGTTTATCCAATTTCTTTCAAGGTTAGGTGATATGCAGTACTAATGTGTAATCAGTGTCTGACAAATACAGTACCTATGGGTTTTCTTTTTTCCCCTTGCCTGTAGGTGGAAATAACACTTCAGGATATTAATGACAACCCACCAGTATTCCCAACAGATATGCTTGATCTAACTGTAGAAGAAAATATAGGAGATGGATCTAAAATAATGCAGCTAACAGCCATGGATGCTGATGAGGTAAGAGAATGATTCTTATTGAAGAATACATTTTTTACCAGTTGAGAAAGGTTAAAAAAACCCAAAAAAACATTTTGATAACACATTTTTAAACTAGATTATGTACTCTTTTAATAAGAACTTGACCCAAAGAAGGAATTATATTATTTCTACTACAATTATTTCCTAAAACTGTTTTAATCATATAACTGATACATCAGAACCACAAAAATGACAGAGAGCCAAAGTGACTATCATCTGAAGGCTGCTCACTGGCTTGTGCGAAATGAGCTGATGTTCCCATATCAACTTTTAATTGGTGGTTGTAGGGGTCATAGACAATTCCATTTTGTTTCAGCATTAATTAGCATCTTTTAAGTCTGCAGAGAGGAACTGACACACAAGTTGAACTATAACGTCAGTCCTAGACATGCTCACTCCTGTTTAAGGTCATAACTTACTGATTGGGAAGTGCTTGAAACCGTAATTTATGATCCAGACAGCTGTGAACAATGGGTTGTCCAAAGTCTAAAGCCTGATCCAAACATTTACAATATAACCCATGTGAGAGATAACACAGCATGTATTTAGAGAACTAAAAAAGCTTTAACTCAGTCCTTTCACTCTGATTTCATAATGCTCTTAGAGATATTCTTCATTATGGACTTCACTTCCACAAAAAAGAAAAGGAAGGAAAGCATATTAAAATACCAAAACAAAACAAAGACCTCATCTAGATACTTCTATCCAGTTTCTTTTTGCCATCTGTAGGCCTTTGGGCTAGGAACAGACATTACACATAAACAAGTTTAAGTGATCAGAAACTGGTTTAAACCTGTAAGAGAACGGATATTCAGTGTGCATAAACTAATTTGAAAATGGCTGAAACCGGTTTGAGATAAACCTGGTTGAATGTAGTATCAGACGTAACTGATTTGGCACAAACCAATTTCTGCAATGTCTGTCCCAGACCTCTTGATGGTTTAAATTAAAGCAGACTTCCCCAGCATGCTCTTTGGGCTAGGCGGGGCACTCTGCTCCACAGCAGAGCTGGCCCCTCCCCTCTGCACCCTGGCTGAAGCTCTGGCAGGGACTGAAGGTGCCTGACTGGCTTCCCCCTGCTCCCCGCCCCCTCCGCTCCCCACTCCCAGCTAAGCAGGGATTCCCCCAATCCCTTTGCCTGACACAGACACCTCTCAGCATTAGGTAGCAGACCACATGATGGCTACATGCTGTGGCAGATGAGATAAAGACAGAATCAACAGGTAGCTGGTAATGTCCCTCTGTTGTTTTCTTAATGGAGTGATAAACACTGTGTTATTAATTCCCTTCTGGGCTGGTCAGAAGTGGGGGTAACCCCTCCCTAATCAGGGCATCATGCCGGGGCCTGGCCATGGCCCCTCAGCTCAGCAAGGGAAGGGAAGTGAGGGCTGCTTTAGTGCCCCCTGGCTTTTAGTCTGAGACACTGCAGGCATATGCCTGCATTTCTAGCATGTCTGTACAATTACAAAGTGATTTAGCCTAGCCAGGTTAGACTAATGCAAAAATTGAATCAATTCAGGCTCAGACTTTTTGAATGCCTGTCCCTAGCCTTAGTGCTACCAACACATTACACCTCAGTATTCATTACAAATTTAATGAAAGTATTCCAAGCAATTGATAGTAAGCAGTTGACTGTGTGTGACTTAGTAAGGAGATTAAAGGTTGGTTGTGATTATGAGATATATGTGTTTGTATGTGAGAAGCAAGGATTATTGTGGGTGATTTGAAAGCTTGTCTTACCTCCCAACCATGCAGCTGGTCCAATAAAAGATATCTCCTACAAAAATTCTTGTCTGTCACATAACTCCTGGACAAGCATGGCTACAGCATCACTCCAACCTTACCACTCATGAATGATTTAATTGATGTATTCATTTTCCATAGAAAATCAGCCTATAAAATAATAATCACAGGGTTTTGTTCACTTTCTTAACTGAGGGAAAGGCTACAACGTTAGTAGGAATGTACCACACATATTATATTAATACTGAACTATCATGTCAAATTAATAAAAAAACCCTACATATTAAAACAAATATGTTGATTAACCCTTTTCCTGCTTAATGGCATCTGACCATTTTTATAGTAATTCATCAAACTTTTCTATAGTCAAACTTAGCTAATGGAATACATCCCATATTGGTAAAAATGTGCACAAGTCCCCTTTCTGTTTCATATTTATTGTGTTCTCCTTCTGTTCACATGTCTTTTACAAGTATGAAAATTTTGTGTCTATGAATTTAGTAGAAATGGTAGAAAGGAAAGTTATCTGTACTCTGTGTGTGTATGTATGTATATATAATGCTTTAGTCTGTCTGTTTGTCTCTCCATAATGCTTTATTCACACTCTGATCAGTTGTCTGAAACAACCAATCAGAGTGCTCCAAGAGTGTTCCAGACAGGAGGTGGTGACAGCAGGGCTCCGCCATGACAGTGACGATGGAGCAGACAGAATGGTGGGTGAGGCTAGCAGTGCTGGCTGAGCCCCCGCTCCCTGCCCTGCTCCTTGGAGTCAGCAGCAGTGCAGGATGCTGACAGTGCAGCACTGGCCTGGCCTCCTCCCCCAAGACTCTAGCCTCACTACTAGGCCCTGACAAAAGTCAGCAGGAAAGGGGAGGTGGCGGAAAGGAGGGGGGGGAGGGAAGCAGGAAGGGTGGGGCACTGTGGCAGTGTTCCACCTCTGGACCCTGAAAACATCTGGGAGGAACAGAGGGGAGCTCAGTGGGGAGGGGGTTGCATGTGGTTGGCTGTGCAGTGGTGGCAGCTTCCCCTGCCCCCTCACACCTGAGAGGCAGTGGTGCCACAGGGTGGGGCTGGTAAGGTGCATGGAGTTAGACTAGGGGGAGCACATGGGACTGGAGGCAGAGCAGCAGCAACACAGGCCGGTGGTTGGCAGTGGCTGTCGACATGTGCAAGCTCCCCTCTCCTCCTGTTCCTGCGAGCCAGCAGTGGCATGGGGTAGAGCCAGCAGGGGGTGGGTAGGGCCTACAGGCATGCACTGGGAACAGCTGGTGCTGGGGGTGGGGCCATGGGGCCAAACACAGGGGAAGGAGGGGAGTGGGGGGCAGTGGAGGGGGGTATGGCATGTTAATATATATATTAGCAAATTGCCCATCATGAATGATCGGGTGGGAGCAGTTGGGGATGGAGCACTGCTACCCAGCACCCCTGCAGCTGCTCTGCTGTGTCCCCCCCCACATCTGGCCCTTAACACCCCCCCGTTGCAGCCCTGTGTACTCCCCTGTCCCCTTCCACTCCGCACTGTGCCACCTGCAGCTCCCAGGAGTGTGTGTGTGTGTGCGTGTGTGTATATATATATATATATATATATATATATATAAAAAAATATGTAAATATGTAAATCTGTGTATCAAAACCCATAATGTAAATCAAATGTGGATAGAAGAACTGTCTTTATAACAGCAGCATAGATCTTTGTTAGTGGTGAACTTGCTTTCAATGTCTTTTATAACATAATGAATAGAGGCACGTACTTTTAGAGGCACATATCCGATGGTGTAGGCTTCCACCTTTTTGACCATTATGCTACTATGGCCAATTCCAAAGACATCACATTAATGGAAGCCTTTCCATCATCTTCTAGATACAATCAGTCCCCTCAGGTAAAAGTATTGTAGTTCATTTCCACATTCTAACAGCTGTAAGTTTAAATGTTTCTGAAGAATGCAAGATGCATTCCTGACATTGGTAACAATGTGCAGTTCAGAATTTGTCACACATGCCTCTATTAGATATATTTGATGGATAATGTAATAATTTCAACTAGCTTCCTTTCTACCCTGCAGTTAATGTATGTGATTGCCCTTGGTAAAATTTCTATTACAATACACTTTTTGAATGTGGAGAATCTGACTGCACTCCTTTTTTATCTGTAATTTATATATATACAAATAGCTTTACCTCCATATTTTATGAGTGCTAGTTGCATGCTGGCACCCACGCTTACTTGCAGATATAACTTTGGGATTAAAAAACAAGGTCAGTGTAAGATTCCTTTTTAAAAAAGCATGCTCTGTATGTGTTAAATGGTTATGTTTAGCCTTTATATAAAAGAATCCACTGAGATCAGTGTAACTGCAGTGTTGTTAAAGAAGGATGCCATTTCATTGTTATTAGATAGTAAAGTTCCTAGCCTACTGCTAACTTTTTTGGTCAGTGTGTAGACAGGAAACTTTCATATATCAGACAATTTGTTTAATAGGTTTTAATGTTTTCATTCTTTTTGCCTTTCACCTAATTTATGAAAAGCTACTAATTTAGTTAGATGAATATCAAATGCAGTTGCTTTTTTAGCTGGAGCTCATTATGTCAGAACTGGAATACCTAGTTAATGGAATAAATAATAAAGAATGTGGACACTGCTGGAAATCTAAAATCCTCAGTGAATGTTTTAGTTAAACCATACAATTACAGGAAAATGTGTTATGTACATGAGATACACCTGAATATACAGATTGCCTGTAGACTGAAAGGCTATATGCAGCTGTTTAAAGCTAGACACCTGTATACGGTTATTTTATTTTATCAGTTAACTGAGCCTTGGTTGTTGAACAGTCATGCTAAAGAAAAGGTTTGGTATGAAGCATGCTAGGCCACTGTTCATTTAGCTTTTGTCTGTTCTTGTGTCACTAAATGCAAGTCTGATTTTGTCTCAATTAATTTAATTTATATTTTTTAGGGAAGAGAGTTTTGAATGGCCATAAATGTTTCCCCGGTTCACTGGAATTTGTTGTTTCCTACAGAAATACACGCACATAGCTGCCACAGGCTGCACCCTAGCACTCCAAGCATTATGAGAAGATATTCCAGTGCCCCAGTAGACACGAGCAAACATTTTCTGCCCAAACAATTTTCACTAAAATAGGATGCAAATGCACATTCATTTCACTGAGTTGTTTGTACTGGGACAGGAGGAGAAGGAAACAAAACACAATTCTGAAAAAGTTAAAACATATTTTTCAACATTTTCCAAATTAGAGTCTCTCTTTTTCAGTTTGAAGACTTTCATTTCATCATTTTTTAAATCAGGCAACTGCCAAAGTAGGCCCTCACCTATGAAAGCTTATACCTCTCTGAACAAGTCAGTCTCAAAGGTGCCACTCTTCCTGCCTTCTGCCTAACATTTTTTAAACAAAATCCTTTGATTCCCCCTGCTCCTGCCCCCCCCCCC